TAAAAATTTCCAATTCAATTACAGAAATTAAATTAACGTACCTAGTTCTGTTTCATTTTCCTGTTGTGTATCGAGCAGTTTTAAAAAAATAAAAACAAAAATACTAAAGTACTTCGGATCATCAATCTAACGGTTCTTTCCTATTTTCTCAATATATTTGCACACACACACACACACACACACACACACACACACACACACACACACACACACACATATGTATATATATATATATATATATATATATATATATATTGTTGAAACTGATATATTGATGTAGGTGGATGTTAAATATCATGGAATGCTGTTTTGTAGATATATACGGTGTCGACTCGAATCAACACTTCATGGCGACTGCCAGTCGCACATCTTCATGGCAATCATATATTATATATATATATATATATATATATATATATATATATATATATATATATATATATATACGCAAATTGTTTAACCATGATTATATTTATAGAAGAATACTCGGAGATAGTTTAATCATATGAAACATTACTTCAACAACATTTCAATGCCCTCTCCAGACCACATCAATTAGAATTTTGGGCGCAGCAAGGCCTGATATACCTCCCCTCGGCATAATGCATAAGTGACGAATATGAACAGGATCATTTTAGAACACAGTATTGAACCATCGCTAAAATCGATTGCCTATTTCGACAGTGGAATACATTCCTGTTTGTATATTGTAAACTACATGTAGAGAACCAAAAGTTGGAAATGCCACAGTATAAAGAATTTTTCTTTCTTTTTTTTTTTTTTTTGTTTATCAACACGAACTGCCTGTTTAAAAAGAAAATGAAGAATACATGTTGCTTCTGAATGGATAACATAGAACTTCATCACGTTTTGCCATGTTAACTGCTCAGCGAGCGTTTTCATATTTTCATCTAGCCTGTCTAACGCATCAGCTTAGAGTTTGCTTCTTGAAGCCATTGTGATACAAGGAGATGGAGTTTTTCTCCGGAACATATGCAATTTTTTTTTTTACTCCGTATTCGTTTTCTTAAGCAGATTATTTTCCCCTAAAAATAATGGATTTATCAATTCCTCTCTCTCAATTTCTGTCGATTTTTCCCCTTTTTTTTTTTTTTTTTTTTTTAGAGGAAATCGCTGCTTATATCCAGTAAAAAAAGTGGAATAGATAGGAGCACAAATCCCTGCTTGTTTCGAGTAAAAAGAGTCAGTTGGATAGTTGCACACAGTCTAGCGCCTATCCCCCCCCACCCCAGAAAATAGGCGGTAAAAGAGAGTTCAATATTAATACCTTTTATTTTATTTGAGTTCTTTTCCTCAGTTATCATCACATCTTTTTTTTATATACAGGGTGATTGAAAAGTAACTCCTCATTTGAAAATATGGATATGAGAGGAAAGCGTTTAACATAACGTTTTAATTAAAATTCGATATGGGCAACAGATTTCGCTACCAGCTTCTCAAGGCGCCAAGGAATCGCGTCTACTGACTTCGCCTGGAACTCTTGTGCTATGGAAGACATAACTTCTTGTATCTGCCCTTCTTGTTCTTCAAAAGTCTTGGATTTGTATAGTAGACTTTTTCCTTTAACCTCAAAGAAAAAAATTCACAGGGTGTAAATCAGGACCGCTGGCTGGCCACTCATACATGAAATAGGGAGTTACTTTTCAATCACCTGTACATCTTTGAAATTGTATATATTGTTATGGGCAGATAATTTCTTTTCTTAGATTGAATGCGTGTTGTCGTATGGATGTAGAAAAAAGTCAAGCGACCGAGAAATTCTTATGCAATTAGGAAGAATGCTGTATGCGTGAGACACGAAATGATCGTCTTCATCTTCTATGTGCCTTGTCCTTACAGGACGTTGCTGATCATGGCTCTCCACTATTTCATATCCTTTGTAGCTCTTAATAAATTCCGAACGCAGTCTTCATTTCTTTGTTTCTAAGGATTTTTTTTCCTTTTTTAATACTTTGCTTAGCTTTTCGAAGGGATATTTCGCTATCCCAGTGAGCTTTCAAATTTCAGTTTCGCATTTTTCGTTTTCTATTAAAGCATTCTCAGATATTTAAATTGTTGTAGTTGTTTGATTTTGGTATCTCCAATTTGTAATTTGACGGATAGTCGGCAACCTACTTCACGCGTGTCAGACGTGGCACGCCAGGCAATTTCCAACGCCTGCAGTCACAAATGACATGACGAAATCCGAACCAATAACTACTACAACACAAAGAAAATATTTACTGTTTCAATTTTAATATATAATAAAGTATTATGAAAGGAACAATGTCCGACAATTATTTTAAGACATTTTTATGTTTATGCATTCTTTTTATAGATATAAATATTTAAGTAAATGCTCTGTTTATATTAAACAGTATTAAAAAACATTTACCGGCCTGAATGTTCGAGAAATTTTCATAGAAAATATTCGTCCTCCGAATATAATTTGGATACGCCACGAGCAGATATGAATGTACGCGAGAGAATCATGGAAGATTGTAGTTTAAAGACAGTGAAATCGACCTTGCTAACTGAACGCTCCTCTGTGGCCCAATCGGTTAAGGCACGTCAGGCTATATGACGGTTCCGTATAGGATACAGGTTCGATTCCATTCGGTGGATGAATATTTTCTATGAAAATTTCTCGGACATTTAGGCCAGTAAATGTTGTTTAATACTGTTTATTATAAAACAGAGCATTTACTTAAATATTTGTATCTATAAAAAGAATGTATAAACATAAAATTGTCCTAAAATACTAAAGTATATATACTATATATTACCATATAAAATATATTGTAGAACAGGTATATTGACCTTAGTTTAGTTTTTCTTCCGCTTGGGCTGTTAGGCGTCGCGGGGAGACACAGTCGTCTATCAGTGTTAAGGTGAGTGGCCTGGATGAGAGATATCTCATGGGCTCTGAGAGTGTCGGCCAGTGAGTCGCTCCAGCGTCTTCTTGGTCTGCTTTTCGCTCTCCAGCCAGAGTACCTGAGGGTGTATGTTCTTAGGGCTGGTTGGTTGATAGGCATATGAGTGAGGTGTCCGAACAACTTGATTATCTGTTGTTCGATGTGTTGTATGATTGGTATTGCTCCTACCATATCTCTAATTGCCTTATTCCTGATCTTGTTCACTGCCTCCCTTAGGCATTTCATCTTACAAGTAATCAGTTTCCTCTCAAATGTTTTTTTAACGGGGTCATGTCTGGCACTTGTATGTCAGCGTTGGTAGGAAAATGGCGCTGATGAGCTTTGCTTTCGTGCTTGTGGAGATGCTAGGATGTTTTAGAAGAGGAGCAAATTGGAAAACTGACTTTCGTTGACTTTCTAATATCTGGTCACGATTTCTCTGTCTAGTTTGCCTGTTTTCAGCAAATACGCTCCACAGATATCTGAATTCATTGGTTTGCTTTAGCTGGGTCCTATTGATGTTAATGTCCAGTCTTTCTGGTCTCTTGCTGACGGCCATGACCTTGACTTGCATAAAAATACGTATGCTGTTATTACACTGAATGATTTTAAAACCCTAAATCGACACATAGTTACCAAAAGGCTGCCGACCCCTGGTATATATATCAACCTCTTAATTCAGTTCCCTTATTATCCTCTATCCTACGTTTTTGCAAATTTTGAGTTTATTTCATTTTCATATCATTGAATTAACGTTTTAATTTTTAACCAATGAATATTAACCGGAAGTTTTTGACAATATGAAACATGACGAGACTGTATCTCTCAAGGTCGGTGACTAGGATTAATTCATGATATTTGACACATGCAACATCCTCTTTAAAGACGGACGTGCAATATTCGGTTTCAGTTGTTGTGGAGAGAATTACCAACATGACGTGACTGCATTTTCATTTGGTATTCTGTGACAGAAAACCAACGAAGTCTAGTAGCAGCCTAACTTGAGGTTGAGACGCTTTGGCTTCATCCGTCTCCAGAAAAAAATCACTGTTCGTTTCAATCTTACTTAGCTAGCACTAGAGAAAATTATAACTGATGGGCAATATATTAATACAATAAAATATACAAATAAGACTGTGCTGATTGCAAACTAAAAAGAAAGGACATGAACTCCTAGACAAGTCAGTAAAGTAAAGGAGAAGAAAGAATTAGGCATCATTTGTAAGAAAAGAATGGTATGGTCGTCAGAAGTAAAAGAATGGTATGCCCGTCAGCAAGAAAACAATGATAGGTTCATCATAAGTAAAAGAATGGTATGGTAGTGAGCAATAAAACAATGGCATGATTGTAGCAGTAAAACAATGGTATGGTTGTCAGTAGTAAAACAATGGTATGTTCCTCAGCAAGAGAACAATGGTATGGTCGTCAGCAATAAAACAATGGTATGGTCGTCAGCAATAAAACAATGGTATGTTCATCGGCAGTAAAAGGATGGTATGGTACTCAGCAATAAAACAATGGCATGGTAGTAGCAGTAAAACAGTGTTATAGTTGTCAGCAGTAAAACAATGCTATGGTCCTCCACAAGAAAACAATGGTATGGTCGTCAGCAAGAAAACAATGGTATGTTCATCGGCAGTAAAAGAATGGTATGGTCGTCAGCAAGAAAATAATGGTATGGTCGTCCGCAATAAAGCAATTGTATGGTCGTCAGCAATAAAACAATCGTATGGTCGTCAGCAATAAAGCAATGGTATGGTCGTCAGCAGTAAAACAATGGTATGGTCGTAGCAGTATAACAATTGTATGGCTGCCAGCAAGTAAACAATGGTATGGTTGTCAGCAGTAAAACAATGATATGGTCGTAACAGTAAAACAATGGTATGGTTGCCAGCAAGAAAACAATGGTATGGTCGTCAGCAAGAACAGTGCAAGATATAGTTTATGAATTGGCGATGTTAAAATCAAACAAGTGCAGAAATTGGGAACTGGGAACAAACGGCGGAAAATATGACACCGAAATCCGAAGACGCATTATAATAACGAAAGATGAATCCCAGAAAAATGTGGCTTACTCCCACATCACGTTGAAACACCGGTTCCCGTGCGATCACCGAAGTTAAGCAATATTGGGTGTGGTCAGTGCCTAGATGGGTGACCGCTTCAGAATACCAAGTGCTCTCAACTTGGATGTGCAGGCGGTGTAATCGTTAATAGTTCGGAATTGTTAATCGGACAGCCGAGTTTCAATCTCAGTAGACTCCGTGTTATCACTTACGCGGAAACACCCTTGAGAAAAATATGAGTCCACTCCTCTCCCCCACCCAGCTATGACTAAAATCAATATTATCTAAAAAAGATAAAATTGCTTACTGTTGTAACCTTAGGAAGGTTACTGAATAGAATAATCACACGAAGGTTGGTAATGAACGATAATACTTAGAACAAGAACAACACATATAAGATTCGCCAGCGGCGCGTAGAAATAGTCAACTGCTAGAAGTGAATCAAGTGAATTTCAAAGTGAATCTCCAATGGTCGACCAACATACAGTATTCACTACTGTATTGATGGGAATGGAGACATACCCATTATCGTCTATAGGTATGCTATAACACTTACAAAAATATTTAGATTTTGGTATTAAATAACTCATAAAGGTGTTGATATGCCGCTAAACAAAAACAAATAAACAAAAGGAAAAATGTATTAAGAAACAGAAAAATTTCAATAGGAATAAAAAGAAAAAAATGCTGAATTACTATGCAATATCAATCCTCTTATATGGCAGCGAACAATTTCTGAATAGTTTCCTCAGAGATGAAGAGAAGACTTAAACAGATATGTCGATTTACAAGAGGATACTGAAAATAACATAGACATGATCAAATTTTAAGGAAAGTAAGCAAAAAAACACTTACACTAAACAATTGAAATTTCTAGGACACATAATAAAGAAAGAGGACTTGGAGAATCAGACACTCACAAGATATATTTAAGGTGGGAGTATAACCTACCCAACATGTGTAAATGGATGGCAGAACAGGGAGTAGGAAAGGTAGTAAGAAGACAATCATTACTTAAAACTAAGAAGGGCACGAAGGTGTGGAGAGCCATGATCACTCACGTCCTGAACGCACATGACAGAAGAAGAGTTGGCGTTGAATCTATGTTTGACCTCAAAGTCATCATCTGGTAAAGTTTATGTTGACCTCACGTATGTTGTTTTTTGTTGCAGAATGTGTATAAAATGATATATCATTACACTAGCAGTAAACCTCATGAGAGTCGAACCCACGGCCTGAGTAAAGGTCTGTGAGAGCATCTTGTTCCTCAAAAGGCCCCCAAGTTTTCTGAATTCGACATAAGATCAAAGCAACAAAGTACCGAGTAAGGATCAGATTCACTTCAGTAGCAATTATCTGAGAGGGTTATTTACTAAGCATAATTGAGTTTAGCTCAAGACCGTTTGAGAAGGGCATCTATTTGCATTGAAATCATATTAATTGCATCGCGATATGCTAACCAATACAACGAAATCATCTCCCTTTTGCATAAAGGGAGCATGTGATCCAGGCTAGGAAATACCATATCGTCTGAATCGAATATCAATAAACAATCTTTGTTTTAAAAGAGCTCCAACTGCGGTATGGAAGATGATCTCCTAGCAACCAGGTGTAGGCTCATTCGTTCACTGGGTGTCAATGATTGCCCTCAATATGTAAACAGGTGATCGACACAGCTGCGCTTAGAATGTACACACGCCGGACAAACCAGATGAGAGTTAGATATATAAGCACCATATTGGATGGAAAAACAAGAGACTCTTACATTCACACGCGAAGTATCAACGTTCGAAGAAAATCCGCAAAGCCACACACCACTCGCCAAGATTCAACTAAGTTGAATAAACAATAATATTTTTTTTTTTAAGCATTTCACCCCAAGCAAGGCGGGAAGCCACTAGGACGCAAGGGGTTACAGAATGTTTAGAGCAAGATCAGATAGGAGTGATAGAATAAAGGATGAGGGTAGTGGATAGATCAAGGCAACTGGAGATGTCGATTGACATTACACTTGAATAGCTGGAGATTATAGCTCACAGGAAAACAGGAATAGGGAAGGGAGTTCCACAGGCGAGAGGTGCGAGACATGAAGCTATTAGAGTAGAAGAGACGGCTACATTTAGGAGTTTCGACAGTGAAGGGGTGAGAGCGGGATGCCAGCCTCGTAGGGCGCTTGAACTCATGACGTCTGGGAACCAGGGAATGCAGCTCCTCGGAGCAATTGCCATGAAAGTATTTGTAAAACAGACAGAGAGAGGCGACGGCGCGTCTGTGAGAAAGTGACTGTAGACGAAAAGCCAGGGCAGGGCCAACTACATTGCATATCCGACTCTGAAGCCTATCAAGAACCCCGAGGCAAACAGAAGGGGCACCAGACCATATATGGCAGCAATACTCCATGCAAGGGCGAATTGTTGATTTGTAGATCTGGAGGATCGACTCCGGGGAGAAAAACTTTAGAAATAGTCTCGCCTTCATAGTGATATGTAAACGGTACCTTTCCATAATATAAAATCTGATTCAAACTCATAATTGTAGGGTGCCCAATGAGGATAGACCATAGTAATAATTTTTTTTTTTTTTAAACTAGCTTACTGATTATTATGTTGAGGTGTTCATATTGCTATACGGATATCGGCTTATCATTTCGACATTTATATCAAGTTACGAGGAGGTGCTGAAAAGTTCAGGATCGGACACACTTTCTAAAATCTGAAAGAACAACAGATTTAAAATCTGTTCTTGTTCTAACCGAAGATTTTCCGGCATCTTCTCATATTTACTCAGCTTAATTTGAGATAAGACCACGAAAATTGAGCCTCACTACATTAGCGAGTTGGTCTACGTGACAAACTGGGTTCCAAAATCTGCTTCAACGTCATAAGTGAAGGGTGCCCAGTGAGGATCGACCACAATAATAAGTTGTTTCTTTTTTAGACTAGCTTACTGACTATTATGCTGAGATGTGCCTACTTCTATACGGATATCGGCTTATCATTCCGACATTTATATCGGATCACGGGGAGGTGCTGAAAAGTTCACGGATAGACGCACTTTCTAAAATCTGACTGAACAGATTTGGGTGTTTTGGTTTAACCGAAAACTTTTCAGCATCTTCTCATATTTACTCAGCTTAGCTTAATTTGAGATAAGGCCACGAAAATTGGGCGCCCATTGAAGATCGCACTCACTACATTAGCCATTTAGTCTACGTGACAAATTGGTTTTGGTAAACTCTCTCTCCTCGGCTGTGAATACAGATAAATCGTGTCAGCAAAGACTGCAAAAAGCGCAGACACGATTGAAATGCTAGCAAATATACACCCACACTTTTTGCAAATGTAATTCACATTCTTCGTCCGAATAATGAATGACTTCCCCGCCATGTTCCATATCAGAATCGACAAATGTTCTGTTGGTATTAGTCGAATAGATCCGCTTCTGGCTTCTCTCCAGCCAATTAATTTCGACAAGACGTCCACATCAAAAGTCATCGACTTTCATTTGTATTTTTTTTTTATTATTTTTATTTTTATTTTCCTTTTTTTTTTAGTCGTATATGCTGCTTAATTTTTTTTTCATTTCTTCTTTGAGTGCGGGGGAGGGGATGATTATTGCTTTTGGGACGTGTTTACGAAGCATAGATTTTTTTTTCTTTTACAAAGCTGGTTTTCCTAGTTTTTTTATTCCAAACATTTTCTACCTTGTCACCTCCTGTTTTCATTTCGCTTACTGCTTTCTTTTCACAAAAAGTAACATTGGCTTTTTCCTAATCCATTGTTTATCTGGCTGTCTACATCCATCTATAGCAGTTTTTTTTCTCATATGCATATTCATCTGTTCATATTTATTTCAGCCATTTCAGATCTATCTATCTATCTATCTATCTATCTATCTATCTATCTATCAAGTCTGTTGCTATCTATCTCAGTCTGTTGCTATATATTTCAGTCTGTTCTCATCTATCTATCTATCTATCTCAGTCTGTTCTTACCTATTTCAGTCTGTTCCTATCTATCTACTATCTATCTCAGTCTGTCCCTATCTATCTATCTATCTATCTATCTATCTATCTAAGTCTGTTGCTATCTATCTCAGTCTGTTGCTATATATTTTTAACTGTTCCTATCTATCTATCTATCTATCTATCTATCTCAGTCTGTTCCTATCTATTTCCGTCTGTCCATATCTATCTATCTATCTATCTATCTATCTATCTATCTATCTATCTATCTAATGACGATAAACCGTCATTAAATCACGTTAAAACAAATGAATTGAAAATCTGTCGGATTTAATCCATTTCCTAAAAATGTCTTTACTTACGTTAAAATACGAAACAGACCAGATATATATATCTATCTATAAGTGTGTGTGTGTGTGTGTGTGTGTGTGTGTGTGTGTGTGTGTGTGTGTGTGTGTGTGTGTATAACGAATGCACGGCCGCAATTTTCGACGGATTTGCACCAAAATTTACGTGCACATGCTCCAAGTTAACGAGAAGGCCCAGACCGACTTTGCATTTCCCAACTCCCATCGATAGTGGAAATAACCGATTTTTTCATGCTTATACGGCAGTTTTCATGTAGTTAGCGGCCATTTTGTACTGGCCAGAGTGAGAGCCTATAGCTGGCTGCCACGATTAGGCAGGAAGATTCTATTGGCCAGCGTGAGAGCCAACAGCTGACTGACACGAATATTAACTAGCATGCTAACCAGCAAAAAAAAGTCGATAGCTGCATTCGTCACAAGTGGGAAAAATTTAAATCTGTATGGCACTTTACTCCAATTGGCTCATTCGCTTGCTTAAACTCAACGTTGATTCTGATTCCGCAGAACTGGGTTGGGTGTGAAAAAGTATTTGTTGTTAACATTCTTTTTCATTCGGTTTTCCAGTTACGAGTCCCTTTTTTAAAGCTGATCATTTTGTGTTCATTTTGTTTAGTTCTTTTTCGTAACAGATTTAATGTTTAGTATCGAGCTTAGAAAATTCTCGGTGTGAGATAGGCAAGAATTAGGCATGTAGCAACATCAGCACGGCAAAGGGCACTCCTTTAAACGCAAGGAAGGGAAAAAATATTTTAAGTCAAGTGATAGCGATTGCTGTATGAGTC